ATTTAAATAACTGTAGTTATGTTCATTGTTGAAACGCTTTATTAAATGGCTTAATAGCAATGCAACGCGAGCATGCACACAGACACTTCTTAAATGAACAAAAAAATGACAATGTAGCTTTATTATTATCAACTCAAAACCGGACAAATGCAGATGCGAAGCAATAAAATAAAAGCAATTATTATTGCATTACTGTCTGTACTGTTTAGTACTTTTATATTTTTGTAAAATCAGGAACTTAGTAAACATTTCTGTTTTAAGCAAACTGTTATATCCCAATTTTGGCAAAACTTGCGACTTTTAAAGTAAAGTATTAAAAAATAATCTGTAAAATTTATTAATAATCTCTTAAATTAATTACTATTTAAATGGGAATAAGCCACAATTAAAGGTTAAAATACCTTTATTGACGTTTCAATTTCCACTTCGGAAATCGTTCTCAAAATACAAAGATTAGTAAATTAAACAAATTTTGTTTTTTTGTTACTTAGTGAAAAATTCTTCTAATAATTTAATTTTATCTGACTCATTTATATTGACAATTCAGACATACATATATACATTTTAAAGTAGACGACTTTAAAATAATATTGCCAATATTGTGAGTTGCGCTCCTGGGACGACTTTACTTATAAGATAGTTTATTCGATTACATGAAATCAACTTTAACTTGAGAATATCCGTCAGAAAAAATCATAGCATGTAATTCGTCGTTAAATAGACAAACACATGCTATGATGACAGTAAAATTCTTCTGTTAGTGATTCCATAGTAAATTATGAGGGAAAAACCAGGAAAAAAACCTCATAATACTATCCCTACATGGTAAGTATTTGGTCGTGCATTTAGTTTTCCTTAAATAAACACCAAATTCTGATTTTATATGTTTGTTATTTAAAAAACATAAATGATGTATCCTCTATATCAGAGTTTCCCAAACTGATCTAAACCGCGACCCCTTTTTGCCAAAAAATTTGTTCGCGACCCCCCAATTTCCCCCTACTCATTTATTCAATATTACTTGACAGAAATAAGGTTCCTAATTTACAATTATCTGATGGTTTCTCAAATTTAATTTTACTTTACTGTTTAAGTTTAAATCAAAAACAATTATTTTATTTTAATACAATTATTTTAATGATTGCAATCTGTCCCACTAGTAATTAGTAGTAGGTACTTCTGCCAGAATAGCATTTACAATAAAAATAAATAATAAGAAGTCGACTGCACATTGTATACCGCGACATATTAGCTTGTGTCTACATCGCAAAACTCTTCCATGATAATCGCGAAAGCTCTCGCTACTAGATGGCACTCTGGAACGTTCTCGTAGCCTCGTTTTGGCTTTATATAAGCGGCGATGCGCAACGAAACCTCAGTTCGAATCCAAACAGCCTATGGTGGCGAACGCGGTGTTGAGTAATGAGTAAATATTTTAGGACTTACGTATTCCCGTTTACGTATTTACGTCTACGATAAATTATAAATTATGGATAAGTTTTAAAAAAAAGGGCAGAACCATCTACGTCTGAAAGTGGCAGTGGCAGCAATAAAAAGAAAAACAGATTCTATATTGATGAATATTTTAAATATGGTTTTACCGTCATTTCCAATAAACCACAATGTGTTATTTGTAGACAAGTCTTGTCAAAAGAAAGCATGAAGCCATCAAAGTTGCTTATCGTGTTGCCAAAACTAGTAATCCGCACACAATTGCTGAAAATCTGATTTTTCCAGCAGCTGTTGAAACGGTACATATAATGTGTGGAGAAAGAGAGGCTGCAAAATTAAATACAATACCTCTGTCAAATAATACTATCCAAAGAAGAATTAGTGATATGGAAGAAGATATTCAAGCGCAAGTTGTGGAAAATCTTAATAAATGCACGTACTTCTCTCTTCAAATGGACGAATTTACAGATATATCTAACTGTGCCCAATTCATTACGTTTGTAAGATATGATACAAATAATGGCATTCAAGAAGATATTTTATTTTGTTCCCCATTGGAGACCAATACCACTGGAAAATGTTTACTCGACACTTTTGTGAAACGTACAAGTAAATATGATATTGACTGGGGTAAATGCTTGGAGCAAAAAGACAAAAGAGGGAATGTAAAGGTAGTGGGGGCAAAAATATTGTTAGACAGAAAGTGCGATCTTTAGAGGCCACTTTAAACAAGGAAAGAGAGTCTCTCTCCTTGTTTGACATCAAATTTAGTTGGGTTATGTTATTGTTTGTCCCAAAGGTCACATGAAATCTTATTTATATTGAAGTTTTTTAACAATTGTGTCGCATTTTAGACTATTATCGTTAATAATTAATTAAAACTTTCTCGTCTAAGACACATTCTGAAAAATATTATATAGCTATTGTTAATAAGTGTCGGGAAATTTAAATTTGGCGCATTCGCATTTCCGGATATGACCGCCATTAGAGGCCACTTTTTTGGTCTTCTTTTCATAAGGATTAGATTCCCTCTTTTGTCTTTTTGCTCGATGGGTAAATGTATTGCTATATGCACAGGTGGCGCTAAAGCTATGACAAGACATAAATCTGGACTTGTCGTCAAATTACAAAAAAAATAATGCCTAATGTCAAATGGAGACATTGTTTTTTTACATCGAGAAGCTCTTGCGTCTAAAGCTTTACCTCCTGAAATGGACTGTGTTATGAAAACCATCATTAAAGTTGTAAATTCCATTAAAGGAAAAGCTTTGCAGACTCGTATTTTTAGAAAAATTTGCGAAGACATGGGTGCTTTGTTTGAAAATCTTCTCTATCTCTATCTCTAAGTTAAAAAAGCTACTTTCTTCCTGAAATGCATATACCCAAAAACTGTGATCCAATTCTTGAAGGCAATTTATTAAACCTATTCTCTTTTTTTCTTCTAAAATAAAACAAAAAATCTTAATAGAATTTCCTATATATAAATGTCGCACATTTCGCTCGTTTGTCAGGTGCATCCAAAAAAATCTGGCCTGGTCCTTTTTTAGTGACATTACAACTTTTCTTATATAATCGTGTCACCGGCCTTTCTTACCAGTTTCTCAGTTCCAGGTAATAATTTAAATAATTTACTTGTTCATCTCGTTTCTTTTCTAGTTACAACAGTGTTACGACTCTTTTTTAGGTTTGAAACGGTTGTAATAAATTTAAACGAAATTTTAATATGAATGAGAAAAGCATGCCTCTGATTTTTATAAGATTTTCTGCTTTTAGTACTTCATTAAAAATTACGTGTGGGCATCTTTTAATTCCGAATTTATTTTTAATTTTTCAATAACGACCTGCCATGTTAAGAACTTTACAAGAATCCTTTGCGAACGATTTAACGTGATATATTTATTTATTTATTTATTTCAACGGTAGAACCAGTCAATATCATATTTACTTGTACGTTTCACAGAAGTGTCGAGTAAACACTTTCCAGTGGTATTGGTCTCCAATGGGAAACAAAATAAAATATCTTCTTGAATGCCATTATTTGTATCATATCTTACAAACGTAATGAATTGGGCACAGTTAGATATATCTGTGGATTCGTCCATTTGAAGAGAGAAGTACGTGCATTTATTAAGATTTTCCACAACTTGCGCTTGAATATCTTCTGCCATATCACTAATTCTTCTTTGGATAGTATTATTTGACAGAGGTATTGTATTTAATTTTGCAGCCTCTCTTACCCCACACATTATATGTACCATTTCAACAGCTGCTGGAAAAATCAGATTTTCAGCAATTGTGTGCGGATTACTAGTTTTGGTAACACGATAAGCAACTTTATAACTTGCTAATAATGCTTTTTCATTAGTAGTGGTTGCCAAGGGAAAACTGTCTTGCTGTTTGTGAAGAACGTTCAGCTTTCTTTCAAAGAATTCTACGGGCTTGTCTTTTTTATCTGGATGTTTGCTATTTAAATGTCGAAGTAACTTTGATGGCTTCATGCTTTCTTTTGACAAGACTTGTCCACAAATAACACATTGTGGTTTATTGGAAATAACGGTAAAACCATATTTAAGATATTCATCAATGTAGAATCTGTTTTTCTTTTTATTGCTGCTACTGCCACTTTCAGACGTAGATGGTTCTGCACTTCTTTTTAAAAACTTATCCATAATTTATAATTTATCGTAGACGTAAATACGTAAACGGGAATACGTAAGTCCTAAAATATTTACTCATTACTCAACACCGCGTTCGCCACCATAGACTGTTTGGATTCGAACTGAGGTTTCGTTGCGCATCGCCGCTTATATAAAGCCAAAACGAGGCTACAAAAACGTTTCAGAGTGCCATCTAGTAGCGAGCGCGTTTGCGATTATCATGGAAGAGTTTTGCGATGTAGACACAAGCTAATATGTCGCGGTGTACAATGTGCAGTCGACTTCTTATTATTTATTTTTATTGTAAATGCTATTCTGGCAGAAGTACCTACTACTAATTACTAGTGGGACAGATCGCAATCATTAAAATAATTGTATTAAAATAAAATAATTGTTTTTGATTTAAACTTAAACAGTAAAGTAAAATTAAATTTGAGAAACCATCAGATAATTGTAAATTAGGCACGCTATTTCTGTCAAATAATATTGAATAAATGAGTGGGGGAAATTGGGGGGTCGCGAACAATTTTTTTAGCAAAAAGGGGTCGCGGTTTAGATAAGTTTTTGGAAACTCTGATCTAAAAGATAATCCAGCAGTACAAAACCTTGTGTAATGGATTATTTATTAATATTATTGGAGTTAAGTAATATTTAGTAATATTTTGGGCACCAAAAACCGTTATGTTTTGGAATATAGTTAATATTTTTCATCCAGGTCCTGATCCTATGATTATTAAGTTAGTCTTCCCAAAATATATTATCAGTAACATTATAATTATTGTTCTTTTGAATAAGTGAACAATTGTAGCCAAATCCTTAAATATTAAAGGATATTTAAAACAGTAGAAATATGGTATAATAATAAACATTGTACAATGCATTAATATTTACCTGGTCAGTTACTTGAAGGTCTGGAAAAAAGGGTATATTCCTTGCCCATTCTACTGCTGAGAATAGCAGCCGCGCCGCTAACTCGCATATATTGTCAATGCCCATTATGTTATTACTTTGCAGACATTGACCATATCGACTTGTAGGGTACGGCTCTGCTCTTAATAATAGTGATATGTAACTACTGAGGTACGTGTGGTTGCTTAGAGATGTATTCATCGAGTCTGTTGAGTTAAGGAACTGATTTGGTAAACCTGGAAGCGAAGGCTGCGATGGTGGTACTCTGCCACGCTGCACAGCTGAAACAGAATGTTTATATTAATATAATCTAGTTCACTCACAAACCTTCCCGCTACAACTTTCTTAATAAGTAACACAATTCCAATGTTATTTGGTTACCTAGTATCTAATTGTATCACACGTCAATTATTCACATTTTAATACTTCAATGTTTATAGGTTGGCAGTTCGGGTGAATGGGCAGCTGTGCAGTCAACATAACCTTGTTAACCTTTATGGTAAGTACCATTTAGTTAAAAATCTAATCAATTTTAATCTACGGCCACTATTGGACAATATATTCCTGATAAAGAAATTTCAATATTTAATATTTATCAGTAAAAAGGCATCACAAAAAGGTATACAGGAAATAATAAATATAAATGCGGATTTATGTATGTAATTCCTTAAGGGGCTTTAACAAAAGTGTCACAAATTTAAAAAAAACTCTATTTGAGGCGTAAATGCCATAAAATAGAAGTAAAATGAGCCGCACATTTCTGGTTAACATTTCGCTCCACGGCATATGGCGATAAAATCTAATGAACCATGCATTTCCAATTAAAAATCTTGATTTGGGGCGTTCAAATATGTAATGTATTAAAGCACCTTCCCCTTTAGTTAAAAGCCAGTCTTCGAATATTAATTGATATGTTTTTTAATGTTTGGATTTATGTTAACTAGTAAGTAGACAAAAGGGATATAATTATTTATGTTTTTAAACTTATTTATAGATTGCAGAGTTTATAATTTCAGCCTTAGGTGTAAGACTTGCTGATCTATAATTATTGTGATCTTATTTATTACCTTTTTAAATATTGGTATCACTGAATCAAACTTCAAAAATTTGGTGTAAATCCTGTGAATTAAAAGATGATGAAAATATTAAGATAATTAAGATATGATTGGATTAGACCACATTTTCCTTGTATACAAAATAAAACAAATGTAAAGCACGCGATAAACTCGCAGAAATAAAGACGTTAACAATAAGAAAGGATGAAGACCTTCTCTGAGAAGTAGAAAAAACTCTGCCCTCTATTCCTAAAGGTACATCTCAAGAAATGTGGGAAGTGTCAAACATTCTGTTATAACACCAATGAATCCTGTAAAGACAAACAATTTTGTAAAGAGAAAACACTGGATAACAGATTACATATTTCAAATAATTGAGAATAGAAGATAAACATGATGATGATAGACTTCTCCATAAGCAAATTAAAGAAATGTGTGGGATCAGAAACGCTAGGCAGTGTGGCACAATAACAAGCACGGATGATAGAGTCCTGACCACAATAGAAGAAATAAGCGTTGAATGGCGAACATACATACAAAACCTATTCTCAGACGATAGAACAATAAATATTGATAGACAAACAAACATCGAAAATAACGACTTAGGGCTTAACTCAGCCCTAGACTCCAGCACAGATCAGAGGTAATGTAAGTCAATAAAACCTCACCAACTACAGGGGGTCATGTAAGATGCCCCCATTTTCAGTTTTTAGGAATCTACAAATCACAGTATATTCATTTACCAGTCAATAAACTCACCAACTACAGGGTCATGTAAGACACCTTGAGGATAGTTTTTTAATACGGAGTTCTCTACTATTTTTTCATGTGGCCATACAATGTTTTTTTGACAACTTTTTATTAAACTGATGATGGAATGAGTTTATTCCGAAAAGATCTTCTTTAAAATAAAAGTTTTAAGCTTTTAATAAGCATTTTTTTATACCTTAATACACACGACCACCACGTGCTTTGTATTCAACAGGTATACTAGCCACTCCTGGATATCTCCACTTCATGGTTTGTTCCAGTTTCACTTTTAATCTTTGGACCTTATCACGACTCGAATGATAACAAATGCCGAGGTCAAACAGATATATAGGGCTAGCGATGTAGTCCAAGAGATTAAATCCCAACTTCTAAGATGGGCTGGTCATATCCACAGACTCCCTAATAACCGCCTGACCAAGTTAATGTGGGAGGAAGCCCTGACAGGGAGAACGCCCTTCCCAACTATGATGGATGATCGTTTGAGATGGAAGCGAGCTGCGCAGTCAGCCAAGATCCACCCTGGTTGTAGTGCTGCGAGAAGAAGAAGAAGAAGTTTACAGTTTCTTCATAGATTTTCCCAAAGTCTTTGACAAAATCAAATAGCATCATTTATAGCTAATATTAATAGGCGTACCAAACCCTATAATTTCTCTTCTAACTGAGTTATTGGGAAAGATGATCAAAAGTGGAGAGATTCCAATATTTCAAAAATCCTAAAAATGAGATTGATCAACTGATATCGATGCGAATCTTGGACATTTTGAGTCTTTTGTCTCTCGAAACTCCAAGAGATATCGTTACCATCTTTGACTAGAAAGGGTACGGCCTTAGAGGCGTTCATACGTTCCTACCGATGATATCTTCGCACCATTACCCGCTCTAGTAAGTGCGTCAACCAAATGTCCAAACCTGCTGTTTCTCATGTACTGAGTAGGATTACTATGGCAACGACGAGTCATCAGTAGGGTAAATGAACCTGTCTCACGATAGTCTGATCCCAGCTGTTGGATGCGAATCTGGGAATCAGGAAGAAGAAAGATACATCCACTGAAATGTTCAGCTGGAGAAAAGTGTTGCAAATTCCATGGACTACCGTGAAACAAATAATTCTATTATAAAAGAACTAAAGATCTGTAAAAAACTCTGCGGCAAAATCCAACTAGAACTATTAAAATATTTTGGACATGTCGTGAGGTCAAACATAGACTCATCATTCAAAGAAAGGTAGAAGACCGAAGACCACGAGGAAGATCTCCAACGAGACGGATTGACTAGATCACAGGAGGTGGAAAAAGTACCTATGCATGATGTAATTGAAATGATCAGAGTCAGAAATCTATGGAGACGTACCATACTTGGTATCACGATGACCATTCAACTCTATAGTCTAGGGGATCAAGACTAAAAAGAGAAAAGATTAAGATATTAGTGATAGTGGAAAAGCGAAGACATCAGAAAAAATGTTTAAAAATAATTTTAAAATTGTACCAAGCTCTGGAGTTGAGCTGTTTTTTAATTTTGTGAATATGGCGATTAATGACTTGAAGTGAAAAGAAAGAATGTAAGCTACTACATAGTTACTCTCATACATATGATGGAATCGTTCTTTAGAATAATGGAATGGGCACTTCAGACGACATTTATTCGCTTTTTAGAATTGTTGCAACTTACAATAGATTCTTCATATGCCATTCTCACTTGATTTATATACTTTGTAGTATTATTGTGTAGTTTCTTTGAGTTTTTATGTCACGTATATCACTTCGTATATTTTCGCCATAAGTGTCTTTTGTGTTTTGTAAGTGATATAAATTCACCGTTGATCATTGTAAGTTTGTTGTTATACTAAGTTCTTTTTGTGGTGTTTTGGTGGTGTGGTCTCTTGAAGTTGTCAATGATGCTTATAAAATTATGACGTTTCTTACGGATTTTCTAGATTTCACAATAATAAAGTTAAGTTAATATCATATATTCAAAAGAAAGATGTTCGAAATTTGTTATTTCTTGTACAACTGTATTTACAAGATAATTTTAAAACTGTTGTTTGTGTTATGTTTATGTTAAATATTATTTTTAAGAAATAAAACACATTGATTGAAATAAAGATTACGTTATACATTTATTTTTGCAGTTTTGTTTTTCTAGATGTGCTAAACACAAAACGGATACAGGATATGTAAAAAGTGTACAGAAAACCAACACACACCAACAGATATTTAAACTGTCACTCTAACCACACCATAAATATAAAAAAATTAATAATTAAATTACTATATGATAAAGCCTAAAACGCTTGCCTCAACTGAAAATGCATTTCAGGAAGAGAAAAATCTGCTAACAAATATTTTAACAAAATCTTATTATCCATGGTCGTTATAAACAAGGAATTTTGCAAAATTGAAAACGAAAACAATATCACACCAAAAGAAATCAAAAAATGCTCACAAAAAAGGATTTGAAGATGACAACAATACCATGGTAAAGGCTTATCAGAAACATAAAAGGATAGGAAATAATTATAATATCACAACATTAAGAACAACCAACACACTGATATCTATTCTTTCCAAAACCAAACACAATACACAGGAAAAACGAAAGAACTGAATTTATAAAAGACCTTGTGAATGCAACAATTTTTATGTGGGAGAAACCTCAAGACCACTAAGTGTTGGAATAAATGAGCATGAATCATACGTCAAAAACAGAGACTTTAATAGATCCCAAATTTGCAAAATTGCCTGGGAGAATTGCCTACAGAAGAAGTCAGCAAAAAATCAGAGACATCATCCAATTACTACGAAGTACCATAAATCAGAATTTGATATCAATCCGAGGGTATTCTTCATCAAGGCTAGGAACGACTTTTGAAATTTTGTCCATCTGCGCAGAGAGCAGATAGAGAAAGAGTTCAGAGAGAAAGAAATGGATGATCGCTCGAGACTTCCCTTAGTTTACTTCTTACTAAGACAATTTCCGGTAATTTTACTGTGCGTCAAGGGGACGTGGTTTTATGATTCTCAAAGTCGTTCCTACTTTTAACAAAATATAAACATTACCTCAGAATTTCAACCAAAAACATGGCTATTTGTCTACCAGATAGAGGCCATGCAAGTCAACTGTCAAATTGTCTGTTTTAAAGCGCCAATTAATTAGCATCTACAGGTTAAAATAATTTCTTATTTTATAATAATTTTTTGAAAACGATTTCCAGATTGGAAATCGAAACGTCAGAAGCATTTGATGTAAAATCTAATTGTTATTACAATATATTGTGGTGTGATACCATATAAATACAATATTTAAGATAATCCTGTTCCGTAATCAACTGTTGTGGGTTGTAATAGCTGCATAATCAGATTGCTCACAGGCGAGTATATCATGAATTTTGTAAGCAATTGGACATCATTTGTAAAAACCTAATTCGTAATCAATCGGTGTAAATTAGAGCTATG